TACGAGGTCTCTCACACACACACACACACACACACACACACACACACACACACACACACACACACACACACACACACACACACACACACACACACACACACACACACACACACACACACACACACACACACACACACACACACACACACACACACACACACACACACACACACACACACACACACACACACACACACACACACACACACACACACACACACACACTCACTCACTCACTCACTCACTCACTCACTCACTCACTCACTCACTCACTCACTCACTCACTCACTCTCACACACACACTTTATTATTCAAGTTAATTAAACTGTATCTGTGTGTTTACTTTTTGTGCAGCTTGCCTACCAGGTGGTGCAACTTCAGCAGCAGATTAAAATCAAAGATAGTGTTCTGGAGGAGCAGCATGCCAGGTGACACACACGCACGCACGCTCGCACGCACGCACGCACGCACGCACACACACACACACACTCAAAAATACGATGTTATTGTATTTTCTTTCATTTTCAACAATAACTGCATATTTACTGTTTATGCTTATTTTCTAACTTCAACAGGCAGCAGCAGGAGGAGCCTGTGCTTCAGGGTGCGTTTGATTCCCGGCTAGCGCTGCAGGGGCGGGTGGAGACTGTCCGAGGGGACATGGGTGCGTTGAAATCGGATTACGACGCACTGCTGGAGCGTCAGAAGGAGGCGGAGACTAAACTACGGGAGGAGAAGCTGCGGGGGGGAATCCTGCTGCAGGATGTCATTCACCGGAAACAGCAGGAGGCCGCAAACATGAACACACGCAACGAGCGCCGCTGCAGGTCCCTGAACGCACCACACACACGCACCACTCACACACACCTCACTGTGAGAGAGGCAGGTCCCTGAACGCACCACACACAACACACTGTGAGAGAGGCAGGTCCCTGAACGCACCACACAATTTTCACTGAGAGAGGCAGTTTCCTGAACATATCACACATACACACACCTCACTGTGAGAGGCAGGTCCCTGAACGCACCACACACACTTTTCATTGTGAGAGGCAGGTCCCTGAACGCACCACACACACTTCTCACAGTGTGAGAGGCCGATCCCTGAACGTCTCTCTCTGTTTGTTCTCAGAGCTCGAGAGGCGGCGAGGTCGAAGGTAACCGTGGAAACAAGGTGAGACCCTAATTTTTTATATTGTGGGAAAAATGTAACATGGAAAAAGGAAAACAACTGAATATTTACAAATTCTGAATATAAAAAAGAACAAGAAAATGTAAAGAGAAATCTGAATATTTAAAAAATATAATATTTAGAAGAAAATTTTATTTTTAAACCTTTTTTCCACAAAACTGTGTCTCAGGGCTTCTTAACATTTATTAAACTATGAATGTGTTGTACCCACCTAACGGGAAGAAACTCAGCTAACTGACGATATGAACAATTTTTACTGAAACAAAATCCAAGTCTCACAAGAAGCGTCTAAATGAGCCCTGAGCGAAAAAATGCTAGAGAAGTTAGCACAGAACTCACAGTATAAATACTGTATTACTTATCGGATCT